CTGGATGCCTTTTATGTTATGATTATTTCACAACTCCTATACCATTTATCATATTAGCATATTGCATTGGCTATTATTCGCTAAGCTAAATAAAGCGCAAATTTGATCGCGCACAGTGCAGGACGCACCGGCATTCGCCCGACGATGTTCATTAGGCAACCGCGCTTTCCTTCAGCCGTATAGTGCATGCGTAGTTAACTTTCATGCATAACTTTGATTGCTAGTGTGTAGGTGATTCTCTTGGGATGTGGTTTATCGTAGCGGATTCAGGATCTGACACTCTTCTAGTACAAAGCAAGAAAAAGAGCAGTCGAAGGGATCCTTTTTTTTTCCTTTTGGTCACTTTCCAGAGGCATTTGCAAGACATAAACAAATATGACAACAGAAATTGGTTGCGTGCGGGTAATCAAAAAAATGAGATATCAGAGTATTTTCGAGATATTTCCATGGTTAGCGGATGTGGTGACATTAGATTGAATGTTTCAATTGTGCACAACGTCTCACGCTTGAATGCTGCCACTTTCTGCAATGCTTTCTTCTGTTATCAAAAATTCCTGTATAACTTAAGCAATCTAGAATGGCCGGTTTTTTCAAATACCTTCTTGACAACAGTGCAAATAAGGCTGAGGATGACAAAATTGTTGGGTTGGAGTGTTCATTTCAATCTCAAAAACTCAAAATTCAGAGCCATACAGTTACATTGGACCTTACCGATAGTCTTCACCGGTTATGACGTGGGTGCTGTTCGAAAGTTTGGAGCTAATTGAATAATGCAGTTTTAGAGCTAAGGAAAATGAAAACGCTTTTAGCTGCATTATGAAAAGCAGCAGGAAGCTCCTGAAAATAGTAGTCAAGACAAGGCTCGCCAGCTTGGGAAGTTTGTAATTTCTTCATGTGGCACATGTTTTTATATGCCATACTGATTGAATACGAACCTGGACATTGGAAATTCGCAGAAGGAGGGAAGCGAAACGATACGCGCATTCGATCGGATCTCTATCGATGCTTAAATAGCCGCGCAGAGAGTGAAGGAGTTTTTGCCTTTGAGCATCGACAATGTGCATCGCTGCTTCGGATAACGATAAACATTCTGGAAAGAACTGCATTGCTCGACTGGATTTTGCGCCCAGCACGCGGAAGATTTTGTGCATAACGCACTCTTTAGAGATAAGAAAAGAATTCACTGGGCCGAGCAACTAGCATTTTTGCCAATGGCAATCACCGCTTATGACTTTCTTTATATTTGCAGAGTAAGCTAGTCTAGCTTGTATTCTAATTCGCTGAGAGAGAGAAAGACCAAGCTGTACCACCTGTTTAGCCAAATCCAGCTGCAAATCGTAAACTCCTGAGTTTACCGGAACGCTTCAAACCGCGAGCGCTCTGTCTTGTTCTGATCGTGTTCGCGTGATGTGATTGAGCTGGCAACCACTCGTCACATGATCTGCTTATATAAGGCAAAATTGACCAGTGAGATATCAATACGGGATCGGGGACATTTGTGTCACCAGCAGTGGTATGCTAAAGCGTCAAACGGCAGTTGCCACCAGGGTGGGCGCTGCAGCAGCTGCATCGAAGCTGAGAGCGGCCGTCTTCTGCATTTTGCTGTTTTGTGTTTATGTCGATTAGTATGTTAGAGTACTGAGGACTGTAGGGAGTCCATTATTACTGTTTATTAAGTTTTTTTTGGCTGAATAAAGACTTCTTAGCTTACTGGGCATAACAGTCTCTTAATGGTAGGGATGCAGCGGCCAGCTGGTTATTCAAGCAACAAGTTTGAAAGTGACCGAATTTTTTTTCAACCAATAATCACTCAGATTTAGTCTTTTCCATTAAGAAAATGAAATTGAACCCATCGTAACTGCATTAGCTCCTAAATTCTTATCAAATAATGACTAGAAAACAAGCGTCATTCTTTTTGTTCAGGAATGAGAAACACTTTGTTGCTGGATCTTAATAATGAATTCGAAAATATTCGAAATTTTTAAGCAATAACGTTAAAATTTTTTTTTAACAGACGACCAGCAATACTATTTTGATTATTCTGAATATTTCTGCAATCATCCGTATACAAACTCAGGCTGGAACGCACCGAGTGGGCCCGTGC